TAAACTTGTAAATTGAAAACCAAAATTTAAACATGAAGGTGGAGCTTATCAAGCTACCGTCGAAGAAAATTAGAAGCCTCTTGTTAACTCAAATGCAATTCTTTTCACCAAGGAGCAATTAGAGTAGTTACACAAATTTTTCTAATCTCCAAAACTATCCCCGATAGCGTCTTTCTCCTTAGTATCAAAGAGTAACTCTTTAGGCACAGTTTTGTTAGGTGTTATTCCTAAATTTTCTCGTTTCATGCTAAACCTGTAAATTGAAAGTCAAATTTCAAATGTGAAGGAGCCTTCTGCTTACTCAAATTCAATCTTTTTTGCTAAGGAGCAATCAAAGTAGTTGCACAAATTTTTTCAATCTCCAAAAGTGTCCTTGACTCTTTTTTGCTCCTTAGTATAAAAGGGTTAACTCGTTAGCCACAGTTTTGTTAGGTGTTATTTCTAATTTTTCTTATTTTGGATAACTGATACTGACATAGCTAGTCATATGATTGATTCTAAATTATCTTCCTCCTACAGAACTTGTGTAGACATTAAAATAGTCAAAATTATTGATGGTTCACTCAATAATTGTTGGAATAAGAACTGTTAAACTCTCATCATTAATCCTTTGAGATATTCTCCATGTTCCCAAAGTGCGACTTGTTGTACATTAGCAAAATCACTGTTGAATATTAATGTCGAGCTAATTTTAATTCTTCTTTTCATGAGTTTTAGGAATTAACCATGGGGAATGATTAATAGAGTTGAGGAAAATGATGAAATCTATTATTTTGAAGATGAATTTGACTCGAATGGACAATGTTAAAGTACTGATTTAAATTATATTTTTATTTCTATGAACAATATTATTATATTTTATATGTTAGGTCATCTTAGTTTTTAATATCTCAAATCATCGTTTCCCAAATTATTTTAAAATAAAATGTATCCTTTTTTTTGATTTGAGGTTTGTCAATTTGCTAAATATTATCGTGAGTCTTTGTCTTCACAAACATACAAATGAACTACACAATTTACTCTAGTTCATAGCGATATGTTGGGTCATTGTAAAATCTTATATATTCTGGACAAAAATGGTTTGTGACTTTTACTAATGATCATACTAGGTTAAATAGGTTTATTTAATGAAAGAAAATTTTAAATTGAAAAAAATTTAAAAAAACTTTTATAACATGATACAAACATAATTTTAAAAAACATCAAATATTACAAAGATATTATGACTGAGAGTATTTTAATAAATATTTTGGATCAAATTTTTTCTCGAAAAAAGAACAATTCATCAAAGCTCTTGTATCAACACTTCATAACAAAAATGATGTGGCTGAAAGAAAAAATAAGCACTTATTAGAGGTAACTCGGGCATTGCTTTTTATCAATTAAGTGTCTAAATATCTTTGGGTTAAAACAATTTTTACCTCTACTTTTCTCATAATCAGAACACTTAATAAGATTTTAACACTTTTTGATGTTTTTAAAAAAATTCTTCTAAAAAATTGGATCTCATCTTTCTCACATATTTGGGTGGACTGCTTTTGTTCACAGTCATAGTCATCATTAAGAAAAACCCCGACTAAAAAATATGTTTGTTGGTTATGACCCTAACCAAAAAAATATAATGTTTTGATCCCAATTCTAAAAAAATATTTAATATCTTGGATGTTCCTTTTTTTTTTTTTTGAATTACAACCTTTTTTTAACCTCATCTTCAATGAGGAACAAAATGAAGATTGAACTAATGAGTTTCAGAATCTCTTTTAGACCGACTACTCACTAAATAATATCTCCTCAACCTTGATTGTATAACTTGAAAACTTAAGCGATGTTATATCAGATGAAAGTGCGTCTTGTTTTTTATATATTGAAGGCTATTGATGTCTTTCTATAGTGGAATCTTATGATATTTATAACAAAGAAGAAACCAAAAAAAAAAAAAAATTTTATGACTGTGGTACCATGTCATGTCATATCCTCTAGTCACGGTAGAGAATAATTTAAATGAAAGGGTCTATGAATCCTTTGTACTGTCCAAAATCCTTGAACGTTCTATGTAAAATCCTTACTTATTCTTTAACCCATGTACAATTCACTTCAACTTCGGGTTCTGAGCTTTTAGTCTTGAACCTAAACCTACTTCGAATCTTAATTTTAATGTGTCTAGCCTTCCCATTATTGCTTATAAAGAGGAAATGTGTTGCACCCAACATCCATTGGCCCATTTTGCGTCGTATGAATATGTCTCACCCACTTTTTGTTTTTTTATCTCACAATTGTCTTTTATGGAGATTCTTAATATTGTGCATGATGTTTTGAAAGTTTGTAAGTGGAAGGAGGTTGTCTTTGATGAAATGAAAGCTCTTGAAAAAATGGTATGTGAGATTTGATTGATCTATCTAGAGGCCAGACAAATGTCGAGTGTAAATAGGTCTTACCATCAAGTATAATTCTAATGACTCTAGACTTACACAAGGCTCAAAAGGTTCCCAAGGAATTCTCTCAGATCTATGATATCAATTATTTAGAGACATTCACCCCAATTGCAAAATTGAACTATGTAAGATTTCATCTCTCTTACAACTAATCTTGACCGACCCCTATTATAGTTGGATATGAATGCCTTTATCAATGGAGATTTAGAGGAAAAGTGTATATAAATGTAGTGAGAAGTTCAACACAAAGGTGAGTAAACTGAAAAATTCTTAATCGAAAGCATGGTTTGAGACATTTATACTTATTGTAAAGGTAAGGATATACTCAAAGGCAAGGAGATCTTACAATGTTCTTTAGATATTTAAAGGATGGTAAGATGACCATATTGATTGTGTATATGGATGGTATTGTTCTCACTGGAAATGATGTATATGAGATGAACCGTTTGAAGAGTTTCATATCATCTGTTTTGAAGCCAAGGATTTAGGATATTTGAGGCGTTTTCTTGGCATGGATGTCGCTAGATCAAAAATGGGGATCATTATTTCCCAACAAAAGTATGTTCTTGATCTTCTAAAGAAAACTAAGATGGGTGAGTGTAGGTCTGTTGATTGTCCAATTGATCCCAATCAGAAACTGTGAGATGAGGAAGAAGGCAACCCAACAAACACAGTTCATTATCAATCATTAGTGGGTAAGTTGATATACTTATCACATATAAGACCATATATCACCTTTGTTGTGAGTTTGATAAGTTAATTTATGCATTCGTCCTATGAAAAATGCCATAAGCAATCAATAAAATTTTCAAATATCTAAATAGTACACTAGTTAAGGGCTTACTCTTTTAGAAGACCACATGAAAGAGCATAGAGGCCTACACTGATGCATATTGGGCGGGCTCAATTATTGACAAATCAACTTTAGATACTGCACCTATGCGTGGGGAAACTTGGTTATATGGCAAAATAAGAAACATAATGTTTTTAAAATTTAGTATTGTTGGTATGTTATAATTCCTATTTCCATTTTTCACCATAGGCAGTTATGATTGATTTTATAGTTTTCATAACATAGGAGCCATCCTCTATTTTATCTTGCAATCGTTTTCTATAAAATTGAAGAGGAATGATTATTTACTCTCCCAAAAACCATCAACTATCATGTCATAAATTTGTTGATATATCTCATATTATTAAACTATATTTTAATGAAGTGATTAACTTCGAAAATTTACTAAAAAAAATATTTATGATGAAATGCAAAATTCATGAGCTATTTCAGAAAAATCCTAAAAGATGGAGACATGACTTTACTTACTACTTATCATCCATAAGCTAATGGCCCAAAGTGAAGTGATTAGTAGAATTTCAAGAGATTTATTATTTGCTTGATAAAAAAGTATGCAATTGGATCATATTTGATATTGCATATGATTTATCAGTTAATAGGTTTATTAGTATAGTCTATTTTATATTCTCTAGGCATGAACCTAGAAAGCCTACAAATCTTGTTGATCTTCTTATAAAATTTAGAACCAACATATTTGCATAAATTATTTGTGCTACATATGCATGATTTTCATGATGATTTTTGTAAAAAAGCGTATATTAATTATGCAATTATGAGCTTTCTGATGATGTGAAAATGAGGAATGTTGAATTTAAATGCGGCAATGAGGTATTTGTGTCTAAATTTTGAAAACTTCCATTAGGAACTTTTATGAAATGAATACAAGAATGAGGTTCATTGCAGCTTGTTTGGTTGTTTGGTTTCACTTGCAATTTTTGCTGGCGAATTAAACACATGAGGCATTGGAACACTAGAAAGATTTTTTTTACTATCTTTCATTTTAATATGTTCTAATTTTAGAATTTAGCGTTGTTGGTATGTTATAGAAATCACTGCAATTTTGTGAAAATATCAAGAATTTCTACAAGAAATTAGAAAATAATCACTTCACTTTGGAACACTGCAATTTTGTGATTGTCATTTGGGTTCTAGTTTCTAGTGTGCCTCGTTTTTATTTAAAGAAATCAAGCGATTGAATTAAATTTGTAGTTTGCATTATGTAAAACTTTGATTTCGTTTGTTTGAATTCGCATTATACATCATATTAATTGGATTAGAGAACTCTAAACTTGAGTTGCCCTGCAGCAGTGCAACCTATCATCTCTCTATGCCAGTAATTTCTCAATTTTTACTTCTTTTAACAGGCATAATCTTAACATTCACATGTTTGACACTCAACATTAAGTATCAATATTTTTTTTACTATACAGTCAAATGTGTATTCTATAATAAATTTATTGCATCTTTATTGGTATTTTTTTAATAATTGCATTGAATTTTTTTTTATAATGTAGTACTTAATGAGAAACTTCTCCATTTTAACCCAATAACATTAAATGTAGTTAATTTCCCACAATATAGGTGTTATCGTTACTGCAGTTCGAGATTCCTCCTAATCTGTATATGTTATTCAGCTTGTGCCTTAGATCTTCCCAGTCTGAACAGTTTTTTGGGTAGTAATGCTGAATTCATAATTTTCTTTAATATGATGTCAGGTTCAACAAAAAAACCTGATGATATGTACAGGATAATTGAACATTTTTCTCTTGGTAGAAGGCGTCTTGAGCTGTTTGGCGAAGACCATAACATTCGTCCAGGCTGGTTGACTGTTGGGAAAGGTTTGACATCCTCTAACTTCAATGCGGAGGTACACAATAAATAACTATTTTTTCGAAGGTCCTCATTCCATTCTGCTGAAGCCCTAATCCTTTTCTATCACTTAGGCTTACCTTAAAAACTTCACTGACAAGGATGGAAAGGTTTGGCTGGGAGGCGGTGGACGAAACCCGCCTCCCGATGCTCCACATCTGGTTTCCACAACTCCTGAAATCGAAAGCCTCCGACCAAAATCACCCCCACAGAAGAGCCAACAGCCTCCACCCATGCCTTTGATCACCAGTTCAGCCAACAGAAGACCATTGGGGAGTTCCCCACAGAACCCCTCACTCTCATCTGTAACCATCCTGAACCAGGAAGCACCTACATCTGAGTCAGGAGCTTTGGCTCCTCCCTGGTTATCTTCTATGGGTGGGTTTAGGGAATTGGAAAGCAGTCATTTGGGAAGCAGTAGCGATAAATACGAGGGGTATGGTCTTAATGCTGCGTTTGGTCAAATAGTTGGAGATCATGTTGAATTTGATCCACAAAGATCTGTTAACATGGGCATGATGTAGCCACAGGTAATACTGTCGAAACAGCTTGATATTATTTATTATTATTTTATTTGGCCTTAGAGAGTAAATCTATACAGCAATTCCTTTAAAGTGCCAACATAGTCCCCTGACTATTTACATGGGGCAGTTTTAGTCCCATGTTCTATAAAAGTGCCAAATTTGTCTCCAAACTCTTCTAATATAGGCTGAAATAGTCCCTGACTTGCTGGGGAGGACCATTTTACCCCTCACTTAAACGAGTCTAGGTACTAAATTGACACTTATAGAGACTTCGAGAATAAAAGGGCCGCCTATGAAGAGTCGGGATAATTATAACATTTTTCTCAATTGCCTTGTTAATTTTTTATGTTCCTGGTATTCTATTTAGCTTGATGGACAAGTGTGGCAGTTATATGGAAAACTGGAAACACAGTTGGTGTTCTTGTAAATCCTTAAACGTTGTTGAGTCTTGAAGAGTATCTCTAGATTTCCAGGACTTTATGTACTCTGCATATATGCTCTTGCCATTTACTTGTTCGGGCAGAGCCTCTACTATTTTTATGTTTTTTAAGTTGCAGGCTTGCAACTATTATATTTTCAAGAATGAGGCCCTAATGCCTGTCCTAGTTCAGATATCATTTTACTCGCACATGTTATCACCGTTAGCTTGTTGTTTTTTGATTTTATTATCTTTTTTTTGTGACGAAACTGCAACCTTCTAAATTTGTTTAAACAGTATATATTCATTTACATTTCATATATCATTTCATTAGTTTTTTTGTCTCTTTCATTTTCGTTTTCTTCTATTGTTTTTCTATTTTTCTATTTTTTTAGGTTACAGACTACTAAGAAACAGGGAATGGAGGGATATATATTAGGATGGCGAGATAGACGGAAGGAAGAGAGTTGATGAGCTTTGTTTAGGTAAAAGTAGGCTGGAAGATCTAACATTGTTTTCGTTCAAACTACATTATTAGACATATATTTTTCAATATTAGGGTTTTATATTGTTGGGAAATGAACCTTTTTTAGAGTCCTATTGGTAAAAAGGGAATATTAAAGAAATCTAAGGTTTTATTTGTAAAACATTGTAATACTCTATTTAAACCCATATTATGAATGCATAGAAAAGATTTTGACCAATTCATTCTTTTTGGTATCAGAGCTTTACTCTAGCCGCCACCTACTGCTCGATGCCTAGAGTCTGGATTAGCGGCGTCGTTGTGAACTGATCGATCGCGCATCTTCCTCGCTAATTAGCTGCGGATCGATGTACAAAGACCCGAAACTCTCATTTTTCAATTCCTTCCGCTTAGGGCTGTCAAAACGGCTTGTTCGCGAACAGTGCATGTTCGACTCGTTAAGAAGCTCGTGTTCGGCTTGTTCGCTAA